TACCAAGTATCAAAAAATCTTGTCAATCATTAAGTTGACGTTTGGTTCATGGATTCAGAACCATGATTCAGAATCATTCTCGATTTACGTGTATTTAAAAAAAAAATATTATAGTGAGCCATAAATTATGATTCAAACCATGACGCGAATCTTCATACTAAACATTCCATAATTCATTTGGACTTGTACCAAAGAGTTAAAACTAATTGAATCGAAAAGTCAAAGGGAAACTTTCTTCTTTTTTGTTCCCAAAAAAAACTTATTATTTGAGCGGGAAAAGGCAAAAAAGGCAAACACTTTATAATATCTACATAATTTAACGTTTCTTTTTTTTTTTTTTTTTTTGCTTTTTTTTCTTCTTTTCTTTTTTATTTATTTATCTTTTTCCCTTTAAAGGCACATCTGAGGTGCAACGTTTTGCTTAAAACATCTTCACATCACATCTATACATGCATAAAAAGAGTCAAACCACTTTTCTCCTCACTTCCGTATACTGCCACGTGTCAAGTTCTCATTTTTTTTTCTTTTTTTTTCTTATTCATCACTTTTCTTTTGCTTCTGTTTTTTTTCTCCTTTTGCTAATAGTAGTTTTTTTTTCTTACGGATATCCTTATTCAAAATACTTTATTTTCTCACATTTCATTAATTAATATAATTCTTTTTAAATATGGCCCTTTTTAATTCTTTTTTAGTCAATTCCTATATAACTTTAATTCTTTTTCTATGAAATTTTTTAAATACTTTTCTTTTCTTCTTGCTTGAATTTATGGACTTAACTTTTAAATAAATCATGTGTTTTAGTACATGATGACTTAACTAGTATATACATAAACGAACGGAACTCCATTACATCCCTTATCCACCTTTATCCATACCACTCTATTTCTTACTTGCTTTTTCTTCTTGATTTGTTTTGCTTTTCGCTTTTGCTTTTGCTTTTCTTTTTCCTTTTTTTTTTTGGTCATCCCTAGGCCATACTACTCGAACACCCTCACCTTGACAAAAGCCTAATCATGGATCAATAAGTGTAAAAGAAAAAATAAATACAATAATGATATTGTGTCATTTTTTGTCATTTAAAAAAAATAAAAATTCATAGAAGTTTTGTCCATTTTGAGTATTATTATATTTTTTAAGAGTAAAATTATTTTGGTACTAATGTAATAGTGAAACATGTTATTGATGCTATGTCTTTTTGATAATATTAAAGCGGTATTTAAATATTTTTAAAAAATATTTTTTTGGTACCCTAAAGCTTATTTTTGAAATGTAAAATATGATCTTAGGGCCGTTTAGTTCGTTGATTCGAGTTTTAAATTCGAGTTAAGATGTGACTTTATGTGAGAGCTTTTTACTGTAGCAAAAAAATTAGATGTGACTGTTTATGTGAGATTTTTATTGTAACAAAACTCGAATCGGTGAAATGAACGGAGCCTAGTACCCTTCTATTTAATTAATTAAAAAACTAACAGATCTAAAAAAATCATGTACTTTTTTTATTTTGTTGTTTTCTTTTAAATATTTTAATGTTTTAAAATATTTTCAGATTTTTTTAAATATTGATTTTTATTTACTAGATAAGAAGGGTAGTTTGCATATTATATATCCTAAAAATTAGTTTCAGTGTATCAAAAAAATATTTTTAAAAACATTAAGGTATTATTTTAATATTATTACAAATACATGATATTAAGAGCATCTTTTTCCCAGTAATCACTGGATTTTTTTTTAATTCTTGGTCCCCTCGTGAATTCGAAATGTAGTAGTATGAATTTTTGTGGCTTAAAACGAAAAGTTTGTCTCAGAGTAATTCAAACTCTTGTTTCAAACCATTGAAAACAGGAATAGGTGTAGGCAACTCATAGCTCGAAGAGAGATTTTTGGTTGGGCTGGCCTAAAAGCTTGACAGCCAAGGCCGGTCGGGCTGGCTCGAACCTTTAAAGGCAAATTATTAAAAAAAGAGAACTTCAAAAATGCCTTTGAGAGTAAACGCCCGGCCATGTCGGGCCTAAGGGTTCGGGGAGCTTAGAGAAAGTTCCGGACCCACATTTAAAGCCGAGAGATTTATACAATTATCCCTCAAATTGGATCACATAATTATTATTAACCCCCAAATATTTCTCCTTTTATTTCTATTCCTTAGACTAAACCCAATTAAAGTCCAATATATAGATTACTAAAATACCCTTAAAGGTACACTAACAATTTACAGAGATGCTGGATGCCTTTGATCGCTGGCAATCGGCGAGTCTCCGGCGGCCATCCGATCTGACACGCTATAACCCATAGTCTGTCAGACTATGACGCATAATCTGTCAAGCTATGATCCATAGTCTGTTAGGCTATGACTCACAATCTGTGAGTCTATGACTTAGTCTTATAGGTTACGCCAGCAAGTGGGCTTCCGATCGCCGACGCCGGGCTTAATTTGTCGAATTATGATCCATTGAATGCCAAACTATAATACATAGTATATCAAACTATGATCCATAGTCTGACAAGTTATGACAGACGATTGGTCTCCGGTTGCCAATGCCACCATAGTCTGTCAGACTATGATCCCTTGTCTAACAGGATATGCCAAATTCCGGCCATAGTTTGTCAAACTATAATTCATAGTTTGACGTCGACCGGCGGGTTTTCAATGGCCATAGTCTATGAGACTATGATCCATAATCTAGCAGCTTATGATCTATATTTATAGTTTGATAGATTATAATTCATAATTTGATAAATTATTGCTCATAATCTAATAAAGTAAAACTTAGATTAACAACAAATTACCAAATTTACATAAAAATACACAAAATGAGAAATATCACATTACAAAAACAAAACACAATTCCAAAATCCATAAATAATAGTTTCTTAGCCGAATTCTTTTCTTGTTCAGCTTCCTGAACCCTTCAACATCCACTATAGTCCATGTAGTCTGCATGGCCACTTGGCTCCCCAAAATCGCTAAAATAGGCAAACAAACAACAATTAACCAATCATCGATCATTATGCGCTAAATGTCTTTGCAGAGTACACACGCATTTTCTTGGTCAATCCCCAAATAATCTCCACCACTATAGTAATATTAAGAAAAGAGAGACTACGTTTACTCACTATGAACAATGTTGTATTCTACTTTAAAATATTCGACAACAAACCAACATTGATGCAAAACTAACTTCCTCCGTTCACATAACAGCAACAAAGTATAACAATATTCACCCAATATCTCCTAAGATTTCTATCTCCTATGTTAAATGTTAATCAAGAACAAAAATTGATCCTTAACTTGACACTGCCTGTAGCTACAGAGAAAAATTGATATGACCAAATTCAGACCAGAAAGACAATACATAATATATAAAAAGATATTTGTGCAAAAGAAAAGAACTGCTTCTAACTAGCTAAGAAGAAAAGATAAGAACAAAGTAATAGCGGCCCACCCTACAAGCTTTTTCTTAAGACAATTCTTTCATTTCTCAGAGCATGATAATTTTGGCAAAAGAACTATTTTATAAGTTATTAATTACTAACAGCTCTTCTCATGATTCAATTCCACAACCCAGAAATCAATAAAATTGATTAATACCTTAAACCATTTCTTCCTTAATGTTGAGAATTTTTTTTTTTTTTTTTTTTTTAAATGGGGGTTCTAACATGAAGCATTGTACGTACAAATTATCAAATAACAAAGGAAAGGATGATGTATGAGCAAAAACCCTTCTTATCCTTATCCCAGTTTGAAGAAGAAAACAAAACAAAAAAGTTCAAGTTTCTACATCATCTAAAATGTTCAAGTTCAAGTTTCTTCGGCATGAGCACACAAAGAAACACATTATAAACAAATAATTACAACAATTTCGCTTTGAAGACCAAGCTGATATAAATAATAAAAATGAGTGCACGAACCTTGAAAAAGGTTTTCCAGAAAAGATACAAAGAAAGACAAAATTGAAAAAGATTAGTAGAAATGAGAAGACACAAACCTTTAGGAAGAGGAAGAGGAGAATCTCATTGCTCAAACCAAATATGGCGGATCTAGATGTCGTCGCTCGAGCAGAGAGAAGAGGAGGCGCGACACCACACGGCATCTCGAACTTCTCGCGATTGAACCGCGATCCGGAACTTCGCGCTATCCATTGACGGCGCCATCAAGAATCCACCGACGGCGTCGCAATCCGACAGCATTCGTTCACGCGAGAGAGAGAGAGGCGGAGAAGATGACCTGAGGTTAATTACACCGCCGCGGAGGAAAAGAGAAAGAGAGAGAGGTGAAGGGAGGGAGCGTGGAAGATTAGAGAGAGACCTGAGGTTAATTACACCGCCGCGGAGGAAAAGAGAAAGAGAGAGAGGTGAAGGGAGGGAGCGTGGAAGATTAGAGAGAGAGAGAGAGAGAGAGAGAGAGAGAGAGCCTGAGGATAGATAAGGTAAAGAGAGAAGAGGTGTGGGTGTTTGGTATGAGGATTCATGTCATGATTTGAATTATAATTTGTGATTAATTATAATATTTTTCTTATAAAAAATACGCGTAAATCAAAAATGATTCTGAACCATGATTTTAAATTCATGAACTAAACATTTACTAATGAATTAGGGTTGGGACATAACTATGGGTATTTTAGTGGGTGTTTGTTTCATAACTCAAATTAAGAATTCGAGTTGTGTTTATGAGAGAAAAATATTATAGTAAAAAAGTCAAAATTAAATTTTTATACGAGAAAATACTATTACAATAAAATTTAAATTGTGACTTAAATTGTGAAAAGAAAAAGACTTTAATATTTTTAATTTTGTTATTAAAAATGTAAAAAGCAGAATATTTTTAAAGGGATACTTTTAATTAATCTATAATTTAAGAGAGTGGGATATGTAATTCTCTTTAAAGCCGCATACAGTCGGCCACGTGACAATCTCAACCGAGCTTATATAATTTAAGGGAGTGGGATATGTAATTCTCATTATTTTATTCTTAACAAGGCAAAAAACTAGCTCTATATTGGGCTTTTGAATCTAGTTTCTGATCATCCACGTCCTTTGGGAAGATGGGTTTTGCGGTTTCTGATGAATTGTTGGCAATTTTTGTTCCTATCATTTTATATTGGGTTTGTTCTGGGATTTATGTTCTTCTGGGTTCATTGTTTGAGAATTACCGGTTACATTCAAAGATTGATGAGGATGAGAAGAATTTGGTGCCTAAACGAACTGTGGTCAAGGGGGTTCTTCTTTATCAAACTTTTCAAGCTGTTGTTGTAAGCCTTTTGTTTATGGTAAGAATAACAACCAAAAAAACAAATATATACTTGGTTTTGCATTATTTCAAAATTGTCCTTTTTCATAACCTCTTGCATTAATTCAGTTGTTCTTTTGCAGCCCTTTCTCTCCTTATACGTGATTTCCTACTAATCCACATTGCTACCTTTTTTTTTCTTTCTTGAGTAACTGTTTTCACTAGATAACCCACATTTGATGTATTATCTATATGTTCATATTGATTTATGTATCTTGATCTGTATATCTAGAAGACTAGTATATGATGGATCCATGTCATTGTGTAGTTCACAGAGAATGTTAAAGGGGACACTGCAGGTCCAAACCCTTCTCTAATGGTTTTGGCACGACAATTTATTATTGCAATGTTGGTTTTGGATACTTGGCAATACTTCGTGCATAGATACTTTCACCACAGTAAGTTTTTGTACAAGCACATCCATTCTCTACATCACCGCCTTATTGTTCCCTACGCGTTTGGAGGTATTTATCATCATCCCTTGGAAGGGCTTATCACTGACGTAATTGGCGGCGCCTTAGCAGTTCTCCTATCTGGCATGTCTCCACGAGCTTCCATCTTCTTCTTCTCCTTCACCACTGTTAAGAATGTTGATGATCATTGTGGATTGTGGTTTCCCCATTGGAACCTCTTTCACATTTTTTTTAGAAACAATACCGCATTTCATGATATTCATCATCAGCTGCATGGAAGCAAGTACAACTTTGCCACACCATTCTTTGTTCATTGGGATAGAATACTCGGAACCTATATGCCTTACTCGCTAGAAGAGAGAATCGGTGGCGGCTTTGAAGCACGACCTTTAAAAGATTACAAGGATGATTGATTATTGTATGATCAACATAAACATATTATTACTTTTACCAACATATAATGTTGCTTATAAAGTAAACCCTTGTTGCTTTTAAAATAAATAATGTAGTTTTTCATTATTTACGTCCATATATGTTTGATGTTTTACAAATATAATAAAATTTCTTAATTATTTATGGGACTTTAAATATTATATACAAGTGTTATATATAAGAGAATAATATTTCAACTGCAATATATACTTAAAGTTGGGGTCTTTAATTGATTATTACTATAAGTAAGAATCATTTCTATGTAATTATATTTCAATGCATTGTAAGTTAAAAACTTTATGAAGCTTCTTTTTTTCTTTGAAGAATTAAAAAAAAAAAACGGGGTTTAAAATTTTTCACGTTAAATCAAATGAAAGTTAAAAGCTTTAAAAAAAGAACTTCATAATCAAATTTATGAATGCTTGTTTTGTTTTTTTGGTTTGAAAATAATCAAATTTATGAATGTTTCTTTGATTTTCTTTTATATTTTGTTATATTACAAGTAAATTAGAATACAAAAAATTAAGGCGTGTTAGATAAAATTGTAATTATGCTTTAGATGTTTAACAACAACTGTTATTTGTATGAAACTTATAATTTCTATTAGATTTCTTCATGGGAATGGCTTTTTTATTGACGTTCATATTTAAGGAGAACGAATATTACGTTTTAAAGATAAAGAGATAAAGTGTTACATGGGCTATAATTCACGAAAATTTTTTGTAATAAAGCCTTAAATTAATGTATCCATAATGTAAAGGCCAAAAGCTCTTAAAAATTATTTTAAATGGACTTATTACACTGATGTCCTTGTGTTTTATAAATATTACAGTGACACTCCCTTAACCAAAAGTAATCACATCAACTTTCCCTAACTTTTCAAAGAAAAATTACACTGACACCCCCTCCGTTAATTGATTGTGAGTTGACCATCCAAATTGACTGTTAATTTTTTTAAAAATGTCAAAAATGCCCCTCCAAGTATTAAAAAATGTTTTTAAGCTATATGCAATGGTTAAAAAGTCGGGTTTACCCTTAACACTAAAAAAATGAGTTTTATTGATTATTACACACGTTTCATAAAATTCTTTTAATGGTTGATTTTTTAACTATGAAAAAAAAATGTTTTTTCTTGTTCCTTTATTTTTCAAATTTCATTTTTTATAATAATCTTATGAGACAATTTACATTTGTAATATTTGAAAATAATAGAGATGTTCTTTAAAACAATAAGTAAATAAATGTACATAATTTAAAATAGGAGGAAAAAAATTACATAATCCAAAATAAGTGAATAAGTCATAATAACAAATTACATAAGTCGTAGACCATGAAAATTATATAATAATAAACTAATCATGATAACAAAAAGGCAGCCAACACAAAGTAAAATAATATACCAATTTTAATTTGTTGTATCCAATTTTCTGTATTAAGTTCTCTCTAAGCTTTGATAATTAATGAAATATTGTTTTTTTACATTCTAAAAAAAGGCAGCCAAACACAAAGTAAAATAATAAAGTTCGCCATCCACCTAGATGTCACGGCCTCCAAATTAGTCCAACATCAATTAAGCTACAATAAAAATAACCATACTAATATTTTTCAAACATGTAAATTGAATAACAATACTAGAGCTGTAAATTTGAGTCTGGTTAACCGGGTCAGCTTAAGGCCGTTATTGTTGGCTTGGACCCAATCTTAAATTTTTTGGTCTTAGAACCAGACTGGGCTAATCATCTCTTTTTAGTCCGGCCAAAAATCAAATTTTTAGAGATTTTTTTTTTTGAAAATACATTATAAAATTCAGGGCCGGCCATGAACTTTTTGGGCTTAGGGTCAGGCTGGGCTAACCCTCTCTCTTTTAATTAAGGACAGCCTGAACAGGCCTAAAATTTCCCTTTAGATTGCCGGATCAGGCCGAGCGGCATAAACTTACACCTCTAAACAATACTGGATCTTGAAAATTCACCTACCGAAGATTACCATAAAATTGAAATATTTGACACAAGAAATACAATAAACAATAATATTTTAACTAGGGCCGGCAATATGGGTCATGACACGACGACACGACTCGAAAACGACACGAATTTTATGGGTTAGTGTTGAGAAAAAATATGTTCGAATCAGAATCGGGTCGACCTGAAATTGACACGAAAAACACTGGTCAATTCGGGTTGGACCCGCCTAACCCGAACACGACACGAAACTCGACAAAAAATAAAAAATACATATATTTTTCATTTCATATTTTAAATTTTATTATGAACTTGTGATATCATGATAGTTATACTCAAAATCTTATACTATTATTTACTTAATTTCAATGGATGTTATTGTAATTTAGTGTGTTATGAATTTTAAGTTATTTCTAATATGTAAAAGACTAAATAAAAGTATACAATTTTCGTGTCAATTTCGGATTCACGGGTCAATTTCGTGTCACGGGTCATTTTCAGGTCGTGTCGTGCCAACTCGTAAAGTGGTCGTGTCGTGTTCGTGTTACGATTTTTAAAAAATTTCGTGTCACGGGTCGTGTTCGGGTTGACTGTAAATTTTAAAAAAATAATCAAAACACGACACGAACACGACACGTGACACGAATTGTCACCCTTAATTTTAACTGAATACAATAAATAATTATATTTTAACTGAATACAATAAACAATAATATTTTAACTGAATACAATAAGCATCCCAGTTGTTAGGGTTTTGCTAAACTAAAAGAGCAACACTTCTCTTTTTTTTTTTTTGTTGGAAAACAAACAATGATCAAACCACACAGGTCATTAAAGTCCAGAAGGCTGAAATGAAGACCTAGCTTTGCTAGTCAAGCTTCCGAAAAATCAGCCATCGATGGCCTTAGCCATAATCTCCAAAGATTTCATGATCTTGATGTTCCAACAAAAAGCAAAATCAACCTCATTGTCACCGCACACGGTGCGAGAGGAATTTGATTTTGTTGCAGCAGCCAGAGTGAAAGAAATCTTTGCCAAATAGGCGAACCCAAATCAAATCATGCATAAGTCCTGATTATCACAAGGGGAAAAAAAATGAAAAATCACCAGTGATCTGAATGTATGAATAGATGTGGGAGCAATAAAACAAGACTTCATATGTGCATGAAATTCTTAAGCATGCTAATAAAATATGCAAGAATTGTTAAACTGGTTTTCGAAATTCAAGTTATAGCACAAAAGCTACTTCTACACCAAGAAATGAGAGAATAGATTATCTAATTTCTTAGAGGTTACTCCTATTTCTTTGTTATCTTCCATCAATTTTCTTACATCGCGGTGGGCGTGCGTCAGGACTGGGTGGGCGCTGGGTCTGGGTTGCCGTCGGCACGTCTTACGTCGGCGATGGTTGGATCACATTCACATGGGTGGGAGGAGTCGACGTGAGGGGGAGCTGGTACTGTGATCTAGATTTTTCCCCCCTCAAATGAAGAAGATTGAATGGACGACTGGGATTTTGTTTTTATTGATCAATAGCTGATATTAGAAGGGGTATTTTTGACATTTACAAGCAAATTTAATTGGGTTTAAATCAGGGGTATTGCTGTGATTAATTTCAGTCAAGGCAGTGTCAATGTAACAACGATAAAATATAAGGGATGTCAGTGTAATAAGCCCTTTTTAAATTTACTATTCGATCGTTTACGACGTTTTAGCTATTTTTCAAGTTTTGAGTTTCCGAAACTAACAACATATTGAAGTGTCGCTTGCTTTAGATTTCTTTTTGTTTATATTAGTCTTTAGCACGCGCTGTTCGCGCCATTCATTTTAAATGACCGTTATATAAATTATTTTTTTTTAAATAAAAAAAAGAAAAAAAGAGATAAAAAATGGAGACAAAAGCGGAAATAAGATATGAGGCAAAAGATAAAAAAAAAACTTTAACTTAGAAAACGTTTGGTTCATGGATTAAAATCATAAGATTAAAACTATTTTTAATTTACGTGTATTTTTTGTGAGAGAAAACACTATAACGAACCATGAATCATGATTCGAATCGGGATACGAATCCCCTAACCAAACAACCCCTTATTTTGTTATATTTTAAATTAGTTATATTTTGTTTTGTCTAGTTTATTTTTTATTTAATTTGGTTTGATCTTTTTTTATTTTAGTGTATTTTATTTAGTGTTTTTTGATTAATTTAATTTTTTATTCAAATTATTTATAGCATTTTAATCTGAGTAGTATCATAAATTCATTGCAAAATAGTGTTAAAACATACAAAATCAAATCACAAATCAATTCAAAATAAATAAATAAATATAAAAATAATGATAAAAAATAAAACTTGCATTATTCATTTAAAATGACGGTTATATAAATTGTTTTAAAAAAGAAGGAAAAGAAGACATAAAAAATTAAGACAAAATTGAGAAAGAGATCTGAAGCAAAAGACAGAAAAAAGATTTAACTTATTTCGTTTTATTTTAAATAATTTATATTTTGTTTTGTCTAATTTATTTTTTATTTAATTTGGTTTAAGCTTATTTTATTTTACTGTATTTTTTATTAATTTGATTCTTTATTTGAATTATTTATAATATTTTTATCTGAGTAGAATAAGAAATTTAGTGCAAAATGGTGTAAAACGGATAAAATCTAAGTAAAAAAGGAAAAAAAGATTCTAACTTATTGTGTTGCAAATTTTGTTTTGTTTAATTTATTTTTATTTAATTTTGTGTGATTTTATTTAATTTTAGTGTATTTTTATTAATTTTATTTTTTATTCAAATTATTTATAACATTTTTATATGAGTAGTATTAAAATTTTAGTGTAAAATGAGGTTAAAACGGACAAAATCACATCACATATCAATTCAAAAAAAATAAATATAAATAATAATATTAATGATAATAAATTTAAACTGGGAATAATTTCGACCGGATCACAGCCGACTCATATGTGCGCATGAACGCACCCTAGACAGAGGCTTGTCTACTGCAGGCTCGGCAGATCCGTGCATCAGGCAAGCCCCGCCACTTTCTCCGACCAACCAATCCCTGCATTGCACGTGGCATAGTTGTTGGCCACTAAGTTTTGCCATAGAGGTTCTCTGAAGCGC